CAGAGGAACACAGTCTATCGTCACTACACACGCAACAGCAAACAGATCATCTGGTTCTGGCAGGTGTGAGACGACATATTTATATTAATAAACCATATAATTCATAACAATGAGCCTTTAATTGCCTATAGCCTTTCAGCACTCAAGTGCACACAGAGATTGCCACAGCGCACCGCAGAAGTAATGATTATGAATGTGTCAGGGAAAAACAGCAAGACTTAACATCATGATAATTCATTGATAAACTAGTGTTTTCTGTATTTTCGGCTGCAGTGATGAAGTCGACGACGCTGACTCGTCTCCACAGTGCACATGCATGTTTCATACGGATTACATAATCTGAAAATATTTGTTTTCCATTTGAATTGGTTCATTTAAAAGTAGACACTTTGCTTTCTGTAGATGTATTTTCATCTCCGTGAGGCAAGCACAGAGTTTAGGTTCGCTCAAGTTCACAGAGACCTAGATGAGAGAAAGTGCACCCTGTTTGCTCTCATTATTTTACCAAAGCACAAGGTTTTGTTATTGTGAGTGCACACAAATGAAAGCAGACCTTTACAGATTCAAAAGATGTATCACTCTGTATTTTAAGATAAATGCAAGTGATCGCGTGAGCGTGCTTTCATTCAGCTTCCACACTCCGCACAAACACTTCAGTAGCACTCGTTTCTAGGTTAGCGTTAAAGCGAGCGGCTGTGTAGTGATACTACTGTTTACATGTTTAGATGATATAAACCACATTTGAGGTCGATGAACGAAACAAAAATTTGCATGTCCAGACCGATGTATTAATTACCACACAGACCAGCTGTTAATGATCTGTCCGTCACGGACTACAAGACTTCACCACTTTCTGTGTTTTTTTATCCCTGTGACTAAACCACTAATAAATTATTGATCGACTTAGGCTACGTCCACACGAAGCCAGAGCTTTCCCTATCCGATCTTTTTTTTCCCCCTCGTCTCAAGAAATATCTGAGTCCACACAAAACCACAAAACCGACACAAAAAGATGTAGTATACATGCCAGACCAGCATGTGGCGCTGTAATTCTGCCACAGAGATACACTAAAAATGGAGAAGAAGACTTGGACCATGCGCATAAAACCTTGCCCGTGGTATAAAAACGAACATGGAACAATACATTTATTAATCTGTGTTAATGTTAGTTAATAAAAAGACGATCGTTCAGTGTTTGTTCATGTTTTTGTTGCTGTTACGTGACGTAGCGGCGTCTGACTAGGGGCGAGACGTGGGCTGATGACGTCATCGTTTCAGAAAATATACGGATTCGCTGTCCACACGAAAACGCAAGGGTGTCATTTTGAGATTTATCCACTCTGGGACCCGGTTTAAAAAAATATCGGTTTCACTCTCCCAAAACGCCAGATCCGTAGAGATAGTCCTCACTGCAGAACACAAGATACAGGGGGCGAGGTTGGATCCAGATCCAACTCCTCTCACCTTACATATACCTAAACCTGCCCGTCTCCACCCCCTGATCCCTAAACCCCCCCATCTCCACCCCTAAACCTACCAATCTCCCCCCCCTAGATGTGGATCCAACCACGCCCCCTGGATCTTGTGTTCTGCAGTGAGGGGCTACTGGGTTCCATCGTCCCAGAGTCAATGGGTTTTTTGAATGGGAGTTTGATTAAATCCCCTAAAATAAGCTCAGTGGTTCACACAAGCTCAAAATACTGTCACGTTTTATTCTACAACATAAAACACACCAGTTACACCCCACTCGTGATTTTTTCCCCCCCCCCTGATCCCTAAACCCACCCGTCTCCACCCCCTGATCCCTAAACTCACCCATCTCTACCCCTAAACCTACCCGTCTCCGCCCCCTGATCCCTAAACCTACCCGTCTCAACCCCTGATGCCTAAACTCACCCATCTCCACCCCTAAACCCACCCGTCTCCACCCCCTGATCCCCAAACGCACCCATCTCCACCCCTAAACCTACCAATCTCCACCCCCT